GGGACTGCGCTGTCCCGGGGCTGGACCGCACGCCGGCGGTGGGGACCGTCCTGCTGGTGCGAGGCTGCAGCTCTGCGGTTGGGAAGAGGGAACACTTCAGGCTCTGAGGGGGTTCGCAGGGGCTCCGGAGTCCCCTAGGCACCCGCCGGCCCTCCGCAGGGTGCGTCCTTGGGTGGGTTGTCGGCAGCCCGTCTGCACCGGGAGCTGCCTGCGGCTCTGCAGGCTTGGGGAGGTCTGTGGGCCTCGTGACCCAGTGACCCAGGACGGTGCTGGCCCCCCTGGGCCTCTGCTGCCTTGCGTCTGTGCCGGCTTTCAGGCCGTAGCAGGGAGGTCCAGAGACATGAGGCTGCCCACTCTTCCTTCCTTAAAGAAAGAATTTTTTCGGGACCAGCAGTTGGTGTAATGGCTATGTTCTGGTCTCCCATGTAGTCGACCGCGGTTCGAGTCCCAGATCCGGTGGCTTAAACTCACGCCAGGTGTGTGCATGTGTGCCCAAGATCCCGAGAGGAGAATGGAGGAGAAGGGATTCTGGCTTGGCTATCCTCCTGGGGGGTGATTTCTTGCTTTCTGTCTCTCTGTCTCTGTCTGTCTGGCCAGTGTACACATCTGTCTGGCCAGTGTACACACACTATAGCAAAACTCTCTCCAAAAAAGAAAATTAAGGGGAGGGACGGGGAGGGACGGGGAGGGACAAGCACCCCAGCCTGCCCGTATCCTGGGCATGTGTGTGATGTGTTCAGGGACACCTTGGGCCTGAGCCTGGGCACGTCCTTGTACCAGCTGACCCTGTCCCGGTGGCTCGTCCCTGTCATTGTCATTCCCTACCGGTTGCAGGTGTGTGCCACCGCCCTGCCCGGGCCTGCAGGCACGCCTGGGGGTCTGGCATGGCCCTGGGCTTCTCCTTGCAGCAGCACGGACCGCCTGGCCACGGTGGCGGTGAAGTGCAAGCAGAGGCTTCCCCACACGCGACCAGCGTTCTTCCTGAGCACCGGACTATTAACCGTCTCCGAGTGCCCCAAGTCTCTCTGGCCTGTCCCCTGGCCCGCGTGACTATAAACTAAACGCTTAGCTTCACGGGCCCTGTGTTCTCGGGCTTTGCCAAGTTCCTTCCCAATCACGGCTGGGCGTTCCCTGGGCATTTGCGCTGTGCCCCAGCAGGGCCCCCTCGCCCGCTGTGTCCTGGAAGCCGCCTTCAGCCCGCTTGTGGCTCTGTCTGCCCCGGCTCTGCCGGCTGTGGAGGGACCCACGCTACTTGTTATCAGCGGGTCCCCTTTCACCGTCCGAAGTGTCCCAGTTTGGATGACAAGTGACCGGGCACCCATTGGCCTGGGGGAGGGGTGCCTCGTGACATCCCCTGAGGGTCAGCCGTGGCTCACCGTTTCCCTCCGAGGGCATGGCCCACACCGCTCTCTCCAGATCTGGTAATGGTTCTTGCTGTTTCTAACGTAACTTTTACACGTGGCAGGGACCCTTCCTGTTGTCAGTTGTTTCTATTGTCCCTTCCGGTTGTCCTGTGCCTTGCTTGTATCTTTATAAATTGTAATCCTTAAACTAAAATATGCCTCAAGCTACCCCATTTTAGTATACGGTCTCTTTCCTGATTGAACTGCTACTGATCGACAGTGTACAACTTTTATGTATGTATGTATGAGGTTTTTATTATAGGGCGCATGCACTCACCAGAAAGACAGACAGAAAGCAAGAAATCACCCTCTGGGGGGGATGGCCACGCTGCAATCCCTTCTCCTCTCGGGATCTTGGGCACGCACACAGAAACGCCCGGCGTGAGTTTAAGCCACCGGATCTGGGACTCAAACTGCGGTCGACTACATGGGAGTCCAGCGACATAGCTGTTACACTAACTGCTGGTCTCAGACTTTTATTTTTTAATGAAATGAATCTTTAAGGTGTATTTAAAACTAGGTTCAAGCTAGTAATGATATGAGTGTAATTAATTTTTATAGCGCTTTCACAGATGTTGTCATCTTAAGTACATAAAGTGCCTCTTCAGTATTAAAAGCGTTTGTCAGAGGGCCGTGTGCTCACCAGGGAGGGAGTGATGGGAAGGGAGAGCGCCCCCCTGGGGAAGGGTCACACTGCAGCCCCTTCCCCTCTCCATCCCCACAGGGCGTTGGGATGCACACGCTTCCAGCTTCCAGCGGGTGTCTCAAGCAACTGAGTCCAGGACTCAGCTCAGACCATGTGTGGGCTGGCTCTACTTATTTGATTTTATATGGGAGTTAGTTGCAGGTGGTTAATTCTAATTACATTTAATTTTCTCAGATGAAGTTGGAGCCCTCGTCTTCGATATTGGGTCCTATACCGTGAGAGCAGGTTATGCTGGCGAGGACTGCCCTAAGGTAAGTGCGGCGCTCCTCTGGCATGTGCGGGCCAGCTTCTGATTCAGAACACGCGTGGTGAAGGCGGGGACGCACAGCACGCTTTGACTCCCGCAGGTGGACTTCCCCACGGCCATCGGCATGGTGGTGGACAGAGAGGACGGGAGCACGCTGATGGAGATCGATGGTGACAAGGGCAAGCCGGGCGGCCCGGCCTACTACATCGACACCAACGCCCTGCGCGTCCCTCGGGAGAACATGGAGGCCATCTCCCCCCTGAAGAACGGGATGGGTATGCCGTTCAGACAGCGCTTGGCACGTCTTACACTGCAGCGGGTCCTCGTGATGGGGTGCGGTGTCGGCCCTCTTTGTCGTTTGTGTTCTACAGACGACGTTCCGGGCGCTGAGAATGCAGAGTGCATCAGAAAGGTGCCTTTGCCTCGAGGGCCTCGCGGTCAAGTAGGGGCAGTGCCCTCCGCGTACAGCCCTCTCCGGGCCGAGTGTCCCCCGGGAGGGCTTTCAGCGAGGAGGGCCTCAGCGGGGAGGGGTGTGGTGCTGTCACCGGTGGTCAGTGATGGTTTTTACCAGGGAAGGAACGTGTGCAGACTCTTGATCAGTGAACAAGGGTTACCTGGCCGGCCAGGCCCAGTTAAGTGCAGGGACCAACACGGGCGAGGGGACGGGTCCAAGAAACTTGCGTGTTTAGAACTGTGCAGTGCATTGGGTCAGCAGCGGGGTGGGGGTAGAGAGCAGTCACAGAAGCTTTTAAACTGTCCTAGGGTGTGTTCAGCTAGTAACTGAGAGGTCACCCAAAGGGATTCGAACCGGATGTGATTGGCTCCTGTTTGCTAGACGGAAAGACGAGCCAGCAGCTGTATGTGGCAGAGCGAGGCAGCCGCTAGAGACGGGGTGGTCAGGAAGGGAGCTGTGGCAGCCCTGACGGAGGGAAGAGGGTTCAAACCGTGCTGCTGGCGGAGGAGATCGCAGGCGGCTTTCTGGATGGCCAGGAGCCACGCAGTATGCGGCGAGGAGAGGGGTGAGGAGCGACGAGTGGGGAGAGTGTCACAGACCTTCTAGGGCGACAGGGTGATGATGGGACAGCCATGGAGGCAGAGCAGCCAAGCTTATGGGTTTACAGGCCAGGGTGTTGGGGATACCAGGGATCCCGGCTGACCGGGTGGGACCCCAGCACTCGGCCCAGGGTTGTACTCAGCACTGAGGCTTATTGTCCTGCTTGCCAGAGCTGCACACAGAAGGAGCGGCGGGGAAGGGGCAGCCAGGTAAAGGCTCCTGGGTGTCTGTCCATAGTGAAGTCACAGAGGGTGCTCGATGCTCTCGCCCGGGGGTGCTGTGTGCTGTCTGTGAGGGGAATTCATGAGAAGCCCAAGATCCGAGGCTTCTCCTGGGGACTGGTCACATAGGTGCCCTCTCCTGGCACGTCCCCAAGGCCTAGGCCCCAGAAGGAAGGCTGGTGCCCAGCTCTGCCCTGTTGGAGTGAACGGTGCAGGGACAAGGAGTGGCTCTAGGTATTCAGGGTAAGCTCAGCATCTGTGCAGGGAGGTATTCATCAGGCCAGACAAGTTCTAGGAAACTCGAGACAGCTCGGTACCTACAAGGTCCCAGGCGCCAGCTAAGGGTCGGCCCTGTTCGTGGCCCTTTCCAGGCTCGCTGTGGTAGCTCTGCTGGGTCCACCCAATAAGTGGCTTTATTGAGTTCAGAGTTTCGGACGTCCAGGTGGGAGTCCAGTAAGATGGGAAGTTGCATATTTACAGAAATAGTTTGGAATATGAGAAGAGAGCTGAGAACGTGAACAAGTGCAGACTTGTTTGGGATTTCACCAGCAGAGAAGATGCACCCACTAAGAACGAAAAGCAACACCCTGGGATGTAGGGGAGGGTCTGGAAGCCCAGAGAAGGCAAAGGGTCCGTCAGCAGAGAAGTCCAGTTGTCCTCAATGTTCTCACTGTGACACTGAAACTGAAACTTACACTGATAATGAGAGATAGAAGTTAAAGCTACAGGTAAAGTCCTTTGGCCAAAAAAAATAAAAATAAAATCCAGCTGGGCCTTTGAAAACATTGGGTTGTCTGAAAGGTCATGGTACATTTTTGCATAGAAAAATACAGAAAAAATATATTTTTTCTGGTGACCAATTTCTTGGACAATTAATGACTTTTTTCCTTTGGCAGGGAGTTTACAAACTTGAGTAGTCAGCACTGTCACACAAAACTTAGAGAGGTCAAGTGAGATTAAACGTCTGAGATACTCACCGATTTGCCTATTTCAAAGTCATTAATGGCAGTTTTAATGGAATGTTTTGGTGGAGGGCAAATTTTTATTCTCTGAATTTTTTTCTTCAGAACTTTAAAATTTTTTTATTATTTTTTTATGTGAACGAGAGAGAGGGGAAGAGACAGCATTCCCCAGAAGAGTCTTGGTGACCCAGCCCAGCCTCTGGCAGTCCCAGGTCATGGACAGGCAAGCACTTGCCTGGTATTCTCACAGAGGACTCCGGATTTGAACTGACAACCTTCCCATGTGTGATTGCCTTAGCATACCATTGTACTGCCATCTGACCCCTTTCTGAATTTAAAAATATTTTAAAATTTTCTTTCCAAATAGAGATTTTTGTAAGCTTTTGGGGTGTTAGGTCTCGATTACACTGTTGTTTTGTATTTTATTTTACCACACTGAGCCATTAATGAGTACTTCCTGGATAATATATTTGATATTTTAGGTCCACTCGATACCTTAATTACATTTGGGACAGATCTAGGAGCCAAAGAGACCAAAAAGATATATGTTTAATTTGACCACAGAGAGAGAGAGAAAGTGAGAAAGCAGACCACCAGGTCTGGGACTTGAACCGTGGTTGGCCATGTAGGAGTGTCCAGTGCCTTAAGCGCCACGCCACCTGCTGGCCCCAGAGAAGTTTTAGTTCTAGGAAACGAACATATCTGCTGTAGAAGGGCTGCTACACGGTAGGTCTCAACAGGCAGGTTCTGTGTGTTGAAGTGTCGAAGCCAAGGCGTGGAACCTGTCTTAGAAAGGTGCGGGCCTGCCCCCGCTCAGCACTGCTCTCAGAGCGTCTGTCCTTGTTCTAGTGGAAGACTGGGACGGCTTCCAGGCTATCTTGGACCACACCTATAAAACGCACGTCAAGTCGGAAGCCAGCCTGCACCCCGTTCTCATGTCGGAAGCACCGGTGAGACAGACCTTTCCCAAGTTCCTCTAGGTTTTCCTTTACTTTTCTACTCATTTGAAGAATGTTTCTTTAAAGAGCCATAGAAATCAATATTTTGAATTTGAAAATCGGAAGGGGATTAATTTTTAAATGCTACTGTAACTTTTATTACTTCAGTAAATATTGAAAGAACAAAATGCCATTGTGAGTTCTGGTGGTTACCAGGGGACTTCATACAGTCCACAGAAAACACAGTTTGTTTTTTTTTTGGAGAGGTTTTCGCTATAGGGTGCGTGCGCTCGCCAGACAGACAGACAGAGACAGAGAGATAGAAAGCAAGAAATCACCCCCTAGGGGGGATGGCCTTGCCGCAATCCCTTCTCCATTGTCCTCTTGGGATCTTGGGCACGCACGCACACGCGCCCGGCGTGAGTTTTAAGCCACTGGGTTCAGGATGAGAACCACGGTCGACTACATGGGAGTCGAGCGACATAGCCATTATGCTAACTGCTGGTCCCAGAAAACGCAGTTAATATACGAGTTTATTTTGGTGCAAAACGTGTTTGAAATTCATGCATCGTTTTCTTATAGTGTGTATTTTCCATGAACTTGGCGACCACTCCCCTCATGTTTATGTTTCCAGGAATTTGTTTAACGTTGATTTCCTTGAACTGCTTCCCATTTCAGTTTCTGAATATGCCCTACGGGAGCATGTATCTGATTTTAAACTCAAGTCTCCAAGAGAGAAGTCCAGTGTTCAACCGTCGTTGGGAATTTCTAGACCAGTCTCATGAAATTCATAGACAAAAAGGGCCCAGAAGACGGGCCTCTGATTATAGATTATCAATATATTGTCACCGTCTCTACTTCTACTTCCTTTTATGAGCACCAACTAAAAGTAGAAGTTGGGGTTTTAAATTCATATTTTGGATTTTGACTTACGAGATATACTCTTAAGATTTAACTTATAAATATTTTCTTGTACTTTGAAATGTTTGTACTTTCTAGACTTCATAGTAGCAGTTTTGTTTATTACTAAGTAATATTAATTTACATCTGATTTTATTAAGTTTGTTTACAGATGCATAAGTTAAAATAAGTATTGTACAGCGATAATGCTATGGAAACTTATTTGCCATGGTATTCTGTTTTTAATGCTTTGTATTTTTGTTCATACAGTGCTATGATACACTTTGAGATAGGTCACATTTTAATTCTTCAGCCGTGAGTCCCTTGTATCTTCCCCTCTCTTTCCCAGTGGAATACTAGAGCGAAGCGAGAGAAGCTGACGGAGCTGATGTTCGAGCACTATAACATCCCCGCCTTCTTCCTCTGCAAGACTGCGGTTCTGACGGCGTATCCTTGCACTCAGTCTCCCTGCGGCGGTAGCTGTGGGGGCTGCGGAGCTGCGGCAGCTCAGGCAGGAGACCTGCCCAGTCGCCCAGTGCTCGCCCGCCTGCACCTCAGCTGCCCTCTGCTGTGCTGGTATTCTGTACTGGAGCTGATGGTCCGCCAGGGGGTGTGAGACAAAGGGAAGCAGTACTCAAATTCTGTTTAATGTTCTTTTTTTTTTTTTTTTTTTGAGAGAGTTTCACTGTAGGGCGCGTGCGCTTGCCAGACAGACAGAGAGAGACATAGAGACAGAAAGCGAGAAATCACCCCCCAGGGGGGATGGTCACGCCGCAATCCCTTCTCCTCCATTCTCCTCTCGGGATCTTGGGCACGCACGCATACGCGCCCGGCGTGAGTTTTAAGCCACCGGGTCCGGGACACGAACTGCGGTCGACTACGTGGGAGTCCAGCGACATAGCCATTACGCTAACGGCTGGTTCCCTTTAATGTTTTGTTTTAAAGAAAGGGAATGAGGATATTTATTTTTTTCCCTTTTTTTTGGGTAAGGTTTTTTTCCGTTGGATGCTGGTACTTGTCAGAGACTGTGAGAGAGAGAGAGTCAGAAATCACCCTCCCCCATCTGGCTGTGTGGTTCAAGGCCCAGACCCACTGGCTTGGAAGAACATGGCTGGCACATGAGTGTGCCTGGAATCCCGAGGAGGATGGAAGAGAAGGGAGTGCAGCGTGGCCATCCCCCAGGAAGGCCTGGCTCACTTTTCTTCTCTCAGTCTCTCTCCAGCAGGTGTACACGCCCTAGAGCCACGTAAACAGAGAAGGACGACGCCCCGGGCGCCCAGCCCCAGCCCCGGCTCCAGCTCTGTCAGCACATACTGCGTGGTATTGGCGCTGACCCTATGCTCTCCCCAGTGTGTAGGGGCACCGCGAGTCTCAGGCAATCCCAGACACACACTTTGATCCGTAGACACTTTCGTATAGATCACTGTAAGGTTTGACTGTGTGGGGCCAGCAGGTGGCGTGGTGGTTTAGGCACTGGACTCCCACATGGCCGACTGCTGTTCGAGTCTCGGGCTTGGCGTCTTGCTTTCTCTTTCCTCTGTCTGTCTGTCTCTCTGCTGAGTGCATATGCCCTATAGCAAATTAAAAAATAATACAGCTTAGATGTTCACATGACACAGGCTTTCTGAGCACAGAGCTGTCGAAAACGGGATCTGACAACTCACCTGCTTTTGAATTCACCTGGAATAGCTCTTCCGCCCAGCGAGTTAGGAGGGAGGAGCTGTCTTTCAGCTGCCAGACACTGAGAGGGCTCTCAGTGCTGTGAGGTGGGTCTAGTTCCCAGCTCAGGGGTCACAGCCTCCGTTTCTAAGTTTCTGCCGAGTTGTTAAATGCTTCTCAGTCTCCAAAGACTTCAGTGACTGGGGAGACAGTGTACACAAGTTCCCAAGTTCCTCATACCACTGTTCTGAAAGCCCTGCGTCCTTGGTGTTAGGTCAGAATTGCCTGTTACCAATTTGATCTCTGGATTTACTTTAACACATTTAGAACTATAACGTGCGTGTCTAAAAAATGGCTTCTGAGCCTGCCCTGTGCTACTAGGTCGTCAGGAAAGCCTTGACGTGTTTTTCTATTAAAAATGCATCATGACTTCCCCGACAACGTGGTATGAACGTTACTGTAGGAACCTCGATACTTTTTTTGCCTTAATGCTGTGAACTAGATTTGCTAATGGCCGCTCTACTGGGCTGATTTTGGACAGCGGAGCCACTCACACCACTGCCATCCCAGTCCACGATGGCTACGTCCTTCAGCAGGGTGAGTGTTAACCGGCACATGGGGGCCTGTGTCACGGGACAAGTAGTGGAGGGGACAGCAACGCACCACGCTAGCAGAGCTTGTCAGTTTCCAAATAGTGTTTTTAAGAGAATGCCTTACATCGTGAGTGTGTGTGTGCACGCACATGTGTTATACACATAATACAGACAGTTGCATGGCTTTATGCTGTGAAGAAAGTTAATTCACTTGAAAAACTTGGTCCATGTGCAAGCACAGCCAGAAGTCAGCCCGGGGAGCGTGGGCTCGCCTGCCCTCTCAGACGTGCTCATGGGTCTCCTAGGCATCGTCAAGTCCCCTCTTGCTGGAGACTTCATCACGATGCAGTGCAGAGAGCTCTTCCAGGAGATGAACATAGAGCTGGTCCCCCCCTACATGATCGCATCCAAAGTAAGTGCTGGCTGACGTCTGTGGGGCTGTCTCTCACCTCCTCGCGCTGCGCCCTCCGCTCACCTCCACTTCCCTTGGTGCCCTCAGGAAGCTGTTCGGGAAGGGTCTCCAGCCAACTGGAAGAGGAAAGAGAAGCTGCCACAGGTGACGCGGTCTTGGCACAACTACATGTGTAACGTAAGTGAGCCTCCTCCACGCGTGCTTGGCTCGAGTGAGAATACACGCTAATGTAAGTGAGCCTCCACGCGTGCTTGGCTTGAGTGAGAATACATGCTAACGTAAGTGAGCCTGCTCCTCCACGCGTGCTTGGCTCGAGTGAGAATACACGCTAATGTAAGTGAGCCTCCACGCGTGCTTGGCTTGAGTGAGAATACATGCTAACGTAAGTGAGCCTGCTCCTCCACGCGTGCTTGGCTCGAGTGAGAATACATGCTAATGTAAGTGAGCCTGCTCCTCCGTGTGTGCTTGGCTCGAGTGAGAATACATGCTTGGCTCGAGTGAGAATACATGCTAATGTAAGTGAGCCTGCTCCTCCGTGTGTGCTTGGCTCGAGTGAGAATACACACTAATGTAAGTGAGCCTCCTCCACGTGTGCTTGGCTCGAGTGAGAATACACGCTAACGTAAGTGAGCCTGCTCCTCCATGCGTACTTTGCTCGAGTGAGAATACACGCTAACGGAAGTGAGCCTCCACGCGTGCTTGGCTCCAGTGAGAGTACACGCTTATTTTCAAGTGCTATGTACATATTTTGAACACAGCACTTTCTGTTTTAGGCCCACATTTAATCACTGCACACCTGCAGCGTACAGCACGGCTTTGTCCGCATGAGTACAGCACGTACTAGTTGAATCACAGAGTTTTTATGGGAGAGGTTTTCGCTGTAGGGCACGTGTGCTCACCAGAGAGACAGAGAGACAGAAAGCGAGAAATCATCCACTGGTGGGATGGCCATGCTGCAATCCCTTCTCCATTCTCCTCTCGGGATCCTGGGCATGCACGCACATGTGCCCGGCGAGAGTTTAAGCCACCAGGTCCGAGACTCAAACCGCCGTCGACTCCATGGGTGTCCAGCAACATAGCCATGACACTAACTGCTGGTCCCAGAGAGAGAGTTTTTAAATTATACTTCACAAACAGATGTAATAGCTGGAAGGAAAGAGGAGTGCTTTTCCTATTTGCCAAACAGGTAACTCTGCAAAGCGCATGCTCATCAGCATCACTGCGGTGAGCCCTAGCAGGGATTTTGCTGAAAGGGCAGACATAAGCTCTGTGCACTTCTGTGCTGCTTTAGTCTCGGAAATGGTCTTCGTTCCGCAGAGACCTCCTCTCGTGGCCCTTTGCGTCCCTTCCCTACCTTTAGACAGATGTATCTTGCTGCCCGTGGCAAGGAGCAGGTTGGAGAGTCTCTTACTTGAAAATCCATTTCCGAGCGGTGGCTTTTATTGATGGGTGAAGGGCTAGTAAAATCATCATACCACAGGTGTGTGTTAGTAACCCACCTCCACCCCACGGACACATGTTACCTTCTAATAGTAAAAGGGTGTGAGAATCTGCTTACACCGAGTGTCACGTGGGCACTTTTTTGTACCTACCTTTTTTTTTTAAGGGAGGTTTTTTGCTATCTGGTGTGTGCGCTCACCAGAGAGACAGAGAGACAGAAAGCAAGAACACCCCACGGGGAGATGGCCACGCTGCAATTCCTTCTCCCCTCGGGATTTGGGGCACACAGTGCACATGTGCTTGGTATGAGTTTCAAGCCACTGGGTCTGAGACTTGAACTGAAGTTGGCCATGTGGGGAGTCCAGCAGCATAACCATTATCCCATCTGCTGGTCCCTGTTTTTTTTTTTTTTACATAGATGTTAGTACTGGGAAACATTGTGAGGATGAGTAGTAATTTGCCTAGTTAACTAGTTAGAATTTTCCCTAGCAACCCAGAAGTTCTGTGTATTTCACGGCAAAAAATTTAAACTGTTAAGTGCAGTCATTAAAAGTTACATAATGGTGATAACAAGTATATATTCAGGTAATGGAGTCTTGCTTCTGAATCTAAACCTTTTTCTTTCTTTTTTTTGAAAAAAATGGCATTTGAAGCTGGTTTTGTTTTGCAGGACAGTGGTGTGAGTCCCGGTTGTACAGATGGCTTGTCACCGTCCCATTAGTGTTGTGATTTAAATGTACAGTCACTAATTTAACTTCTGCAGATACCAGGATCGAATTTCTGGATACTCAGAGTCCTTGCTGGGCAGATTTACACTGCTGAAACACCCAGCCAGAAATCTGACCCTTTTTGTTCATAACAAAATTTTAAATGTATTCTTATAAAAGTATAAATTGCAATGACAAGTATTCATCTGTTTTCTAAACCTTTTTTCCCTTCCACAGTGTGTTATTCAAGATTTTCAAGCTTCAGTACTTCAAGTGTCAGATTCCACATATGACGAACAGTATGTTTTTTATTTAAACTATATACTTGCTAAATGAGGAAAGGATTTGTTTAGTTAAGAAAAAAAAAAAGAATAGTTGGATGTACTTAATTTTCTGAATTGATGCTGAGATATACTAACTAGCATTTTTATATCTTCATTCTGATGTTAATCAGCTGGTAGTCCTTAGTTTGAAACTCTGAGGGGTGCCCTGTGCCCTGCGCCCTGTCCTCTGTGTCCTGTGCCCTTTGCCCTGTGTGGCTGCACCCTGTGCCTTGCACCATGTGGCTGTGCCCTGCGCAGCTGCACCCTGTGCCCTGCACCGTATGGCTGTCCCCTGTGCCCTGTCCTCTGTGCCCTGCGCCATGTGGCTGTCCCCTGCGCCCTGTCCTCTGTGCCCTGTGTCCTGCACTGTGTGGCTGTGCCCTGCGCCCTGCGCAATGCTGTCTGAACGCTTTCAGAGTAGCCGCACAGATGCCGACTGTCCACTACGAGTTCCCCAATGGCTACAACTGTGACTTTGGTGCAGAGCGGCTGAAGATTCCGGAAGGATTGTTTGACCCTTCTAATGTAAAGGTGTGAGAGCTTTTATAGACGAGCCTGTCCTTTTCGGTATCTATAAGGCGCTTGTGTCGTTATAAAACCTAAACAAGACCCATTTTTCTGGAGATGCTTGACTGTGGTTTTCCATCTGACTTCTGGTTTTCTCTTGCAGGGCTTGTCAGGGAACACAATGCTGGGGGTCAGCCACGTTGTCACCACTAGTGTTGGAATGTGTGACATCGACATACGGCCGGTAGGTGGAAGGGCCTCCACACTTTCCTCTTCCCCTTTACTGCTCCGGTAATGGGGGTCTCTCGGGCGGTGAAACGCCCCCACTGTTAGGTCGGCAGCTTGGCCCCTGACTGTGAAGTCCGCCATGACGGTGCAGGTGAGTGTCGAACGCCACAGACGGAGACGTGGACTCTACACTCGTGGTGCTGATGTAGCTACTGGCCCCACACAGCAGTTGAAGTGAAATGAAAGTGGAAAATGCAGCTCTCCAGCCCTAGCCTCCTTGCCGTGTAGGTGTGGCCAGTGGGTAACATGGGAGAGGCCATGGGGAGCACTCCGTCACCCCAGAGAGGTCATGCGGCAGTGGCTGCTCTCGAGGCTGCCTAGCGTGGTAGAAGGTAGGTGTGATTGGTGACTGCGTGTGTGGCACAGCTTTAGCCACACGTTAATTTTTCAGGAAGATGTGGTTTAAGTTCTAGGAGTAATGGCCCAGTAGGTGGCATAAAGGTTATATTGCTGGACTCTCACTTGGCCAACTGTGGTTCAAGTCTTGGACCTGGAGGCTTGAAACTCAGGCCAACCATGTGTGCAGGCATGCCCATGATCTTAAGGGTGTAGGAGAAGGGATTGCGCTGTGGCCGTCCCCGCTGGGGGGTGATTCCTCATCTTGTGTTTCTGTCTCTCTCCAGCAAGTACACACGCCCTATAGCAAAAAAATCTCTCTAAAAATAAATAAATAAATAAATAAGTTTTATCTGGAGTTCATTTTAGATTATCTTTTTTTCCGAAGCTATTTGTTGTTTTATGCAAGATTAGCCATCATGCAAAACTTACTGGTTACGCAGTTAATAAAATACAGTATCCCCTCGAAGGCTTTCTGGTCGCAACTCCTCCATCAGAGAAGCTGTGCCCACGTGATCCTCACTTTTCTGTACTTGTGTGTCCGTGTGTGTTTGTTATTACGTCTATTTCTAATCCACAGCCTTCCCCACTCAGAGAAGCGTGTTCATGCCGAGCTGGTCCTGGCATCACAGTCCTTACAAAGAACGAGGCGGAGAACCCCCGCGGTCTGAGAGGAAGCTCTTAGCTTTGTAAAGGGCCAGCCTCACCTCGTGGGTCTCATGTATTGTACATTCTTGAAGCTCTCTCAGCTGCCGTCTGCACATCGGGTGGCGGCTCCTCTTCTTCCTCGGTTCGTCTGTGTTTGAAGAACAGGTCAGACTTTAGGAAGCGGCTATAGCTGTCGAACTTCATGAGAGTGAAGAGCTGGTCCTGGAGCTTCTGGGACGCCCGAGGCTGCGGTTCATACAGGGTCTTTACATGGAACCGAGACTGCCTTCTACATTAACTGTGGTGACGAGGCCTTACTGGACAGAGAGGTCATGGAGATCTGCTTTGCCTTTTCCCGCATCTTCCTCCGCTTCCTGACTCCCTTGCTCTGAGGGCCCTTCCTCTCCGAAGTCGCCAGCATGGCTGCTTCCCTGTCTCTGACCTGCTCCTGTTCCTTGTTGCCTCCAGCATCTCTGGCTCTTCTACAGTTGTGCCGTTTTAGGTGATCTTTGTGTCTTTGGTACTTCACGGAGTCCTAAGCACCGACTCCACAGCACGTCCTACGTGGTTAGCAGGTCGGTTGTGTCTGAGTTGAGCTGGATTCTGCTCAGCCCACTACATCCCCGTTTTCTCTAAGTTAGCGTGCTTAGAGCATGGTGCTCCTCGCTAAGGTCGTTACACAACACGTCGTGAGAAAGCTTTTTGTGACTACAAAAATTGTTCTTTATTTCAACTAGTGACTTAGTAGGCATGTGCTGTCTACTGGGCAAAAGGAGTATAAGTTTGCAATTTTTTTTAGCACAAATCCAAAGCTACTTTTAGGAAAAGCAGTTGAAGAATTTCATGAGGGTGCTGAGCTTTGTTTTAGTGCCCATGTTCCTGTTGATTCCGTTATCTATTCAGGGCAGGGTGGTTTAGACATTCGGATTAAGGTTATATTGAGGAGTATTCATGAGAGAGTGAGAAGTGGGCACCCAGTGGCTTCCGTGACACACGCCTACCTCTGCCCACACGCTCACCTCCGCCAGCTGGAGTCAGGGCGTGCTTTCGGGTCCCGGCTCGTACAGGGGCCCTGGACAGGAACCGGGGACCTTACCTTCTGGCTTCATTGTAGAGCTTTGAGGTGCCATAGGACCAGTGTAGCTGGCGTGGAAGAAGTTTCTGAAAACAGGAATTTAGCTACTAAAAAAGCAGCTTGACATTTATCTCTGTGGCAGACACATGCAAATGAGAAGTAGATAGACCCCTTCCAAGTAGGTCTTTATTTTTACTTGGGGAAGCCCTGGTGCGTGTTTTGTAAACGCTCCCCGTGTGGTTCTGATACGTAGCCATGTGACAGAGAAGGGTAGTGGGAGCAGTCGGTCCGGCCAGGAGTGTTTTCCGTTTGTTATTTCCCATCGTAGTCATAAAATAATATCATTGTCTACTTTCATTTAAGATTTTGCCGTAGGGCACGCACTAGAGAGAGACAGTGAGAAGTCGCCCTGAGGGAGTGGCCAGCCACAACCCCTCTGCTCTCTCAGGGTATTGAGCACGTCTGCACGTGTTTTACAAACCACCGACTCCAGGGCTCAGACCCCACAGCCAGCCATGTGAGATCCAGTGTCTTTAACCACCACACCACCTGCTAGCGCCTGTCGATTTTTTTTTTTTAATTTTTTAAATTTTAAATGTATTCATTCTCTACATTAATTCACTATATACCATCACAACACACAAATGAATTTTCCATCCAAAATACACTGTGCAATGGCTCAATCAAGCACATCAACATACATGTTCTCAGCAAATAATTTTCCAATTCTTACGTCCTGCATACCTTGCTTTTTGTTTTGCCATCCCTGATTCCCCATCCCCCACCCTCTGCTATGTCCCATCCTCCTCCCACATTGTCCCTGGCATCCACGGTTGCCCTCCATGCCTTCCCCCCTCCATTCAATTGATCTGCCAATGAACTTAATTAGTGTAAATATATCCAACAGCTAGCACAGCTGACACATACCTATACATGAACCCAAGTCTGACTTTAGGCATAAACCCCAGTGAGTAGAATGAACATACTATAAAGTAGTACCCAGCTGTGCCCATACAGCTCGCTGCAGTCGTCAAATATGCAATTTTTTTAAAATGATACAAACAGTTTTACCGTTTTTTTTTTCTCCTGCAACTTTTTTTTTTTTTTA